CGCACACATGTGCATAAGAATGTGTGTCTGTATGTCTCTGTAATTTCTCAAGGTACCTTACACCAAATATGGCACTGTGTCGACTACTACTGAGTGAGAATAATTTGTGTTTTACTGCATTGAAAATCATCTAGCTAAGGCTATTTACTCAGTGTCGTACAAAAATAAATATAGAGGGATTAAACATGTAGCCAATAAACATTAAAATATAAACTTATAGACATGCATAACATTTGAAATGTATGTATCTCATTTAATATGCAAGAACATTTGTGCCTATTTCTTCTTTTACTTTTCAGTTTTTCAATTATAAACACATACACTCAGTCGACCTTGAGTTTATGATATCAACACTCACATAATTCCTTTTTATATACAGTCTTTGCAACAAAAACAAGCACTTGAAATTTCCTAAGTCCTAAACTGATGCAGGTGGCATCATAATTACAGTCATTTGTCAGTTTCAAATACAGAACTCTTAAATTAGAATGACGATGAACATTAAATCACAGGAAAATAAAAGAATATTTCTTCCTTCACACTTCTAGCCTCACCAATGCATCACAAATAATAGTGATTCATAACATTGAGGGTTACTTGAATATTCATCGCCCTGATGATGGTGGCAGTATGACCTCTGAAACGTTGGTAAACATCGACCAGACTACACAGCGCAACAACCAAGAAGACAGAAATCTTCATACTCACCGCTGTGAGAACCTCAAATCTTACTTTTAGCTTGGTAACAAACAGATACTGGACTGCACAGATAAACAATAAGAAATTAATTTTTAAATCAATCAATCTGCACATTTCAGAATACATTTTCAGTTGCTCTTGGTATGAATTTCACACAGAAACTTTTCAACATATATCGTGAAATAAATAAGCACAAAATTTTAATAATTAGGCCAACTGTGTGAATACAACACACATTAAAAATATATTTAGATACTAGGACTTGAACCAGTAAATATGATGCCAGTCCCCACTATAGAAATTGGTCTACAAGAAAACATGGGCAACCAACAAAAGCAGAGCTTTCAGCCCTGTCTTCATTTCTACAGACTAGAAGAGTCATTAATATTCATTCGTGTCTTCTTTCAAATTCGGCAGATATGCTGATATTCTTTTAATAAACATCTAACAAGAATCATTGTAGGTAATGGAATTTATAGAAAATCCACGTACATACAAATAAAAGGAGATTACAAACGACTGTAATTACGATGGCAGCTTAAGACCCTGGCTACACGACCGTACAAAGTACGTCCGTTGCAACAGACGTAGGTGAGGACGCCACACGAGCGCAGTGTGATGCGTCAGTTGTCCCGATGGAGCCGGAAGAAGCCGTTGCGTTCTGTGGTCTTGCCCCTTCATAATTCTATGACGGACATCACGATGTGTGTTGCAACAGACGTACTTTGTACTGTCGTGTGGTCCCAGCCTTAAGCTTACATCACCCTCACATATAGTACCAAAGTCTGAAAATACATTACCCAATTCCAGTGTATCCTCGGTTATACTTGCATTTTTGCCATATGCAACAGTATACGCTGCAACCCCAACAGAGTATTCAGAGTAGGCCAACAAGTTATTTAATACAACAAAAGTTTCCTTTGTTTCAACTTGTCCCTTTGATGCATTGTTTGACTTGTATCCACCTTTGCAGGACTTATATGTGTTATGCTGAAAGAAATAAAGTTTGCATAAAATTATCAGAGAAGGTAAAAACAAAGACAATCCACTAGCACAGAATAAAGTGAAAGTGCTACACCTCATTATTATAACTCACAGGAAGATATGTTACAAGAAAACAACTTCAGTGTCAAAAAGTCTAACATTTGATAATTTACTTCTGCTTTCCTTACACTAGGCTGTCGTTAATGAGATATAACGCAGTAAGCATATCAGTTATTTTATATGCCACAAACAGCATGCAAATTTTATCAGAAAGAAAATATAATGAGGCATTCTTAACATCTATTTAATTAATCTGGTCCAACGTTATTGCAATACGGATTAATACAAAAATCATTCCTGTAAATTTGTTTTATTATGACTGGGAAAATAACATTATTATCAACTTCAAAAACAATGCTGTAACTTGACATTTAAAGATTTTAATAATTTTAAAAACTTATATTACAACCCTAATAATAAATTAACTTATAATGCGTTAAAATTACAAAGACGGTTAGATTGAAAAGTCCATTTCTGATAAATTAATGTTAATAGGATGGAGCAACATTCATTTCAGTCTTCAGCTTACAGAGCATCTAACAATATCCCTGGAGGTGCAGTAGGCCAATTGAAGTTCAGATGAATGGTTTAGGTTCGGATGCCAGCTACCGTGGATGGAGTGGAAGGCACAACACAAGAAATCCAAAAGAGATTGGAGTTTCAAAATGGCAGATAAAGTACAAGTAATCACTTGAAGTAAAATAGAAGCTAATGAATGTTTAAATTATAAAGAGTTCTGAAGATAGTGTACTACATTAAAAATTACTGGGCTTCTGGACTTTGTTCATTGTCTGATATTAAAAAAAAACATATCGTTTTGGAAACTGGACCTGTTTCTGTCACCAGGAAAAATGAAGAGTGAGAAGGGGCACATACTCAGTTGCGTTTGTTAGAAGAAACTAAGCTCAATCACTGGTCAACTTAAGTTGGAGAAACTACAACCTGAGATCAGGTTCTGTCAATGGAAAATAATAAGAAATTGCACAATGGAAATTGTGGAAATGTATATGAAGACCTGAAACCATGGCAGAAAGGAGAGAAGAAATTAAATGCCTCAAACCAAACTGAAAAAGACCCTGATGTCAGGAGCTTACATGTTGTTTTTCCAACTTAAGTTATCCAGTGATTGATGTTAGTTCTTTCTAATGGATGCAACTAAGTAGATACCCCATCACCTTCTTGATTCAATCTGGTGTTTCCCGAGCCATCCAGTCCGTAGCCAGTCATTATATTGATTGAGCTATGCCAGCTCATGAACACAGTAATAAAAATTTGAATCTCCATAAAATGTGTTAGGCCGATAAAATGAAGAGTGAGAAGGGGCACCTACTCAGTTGCGTCTATTAGAAGAAACTGAGCTCAGTCACTGGTCAATTTAAGTTAGAAAACAACTACAACCTCAGATCAGGTTCTGTCAATGGAAAATTATAAGAAATTGCACAGTGGAAATTGTGGAAATGTATATGAAGACCAACCATGGCAGAAAGGAAAGAAGGAATTAAATGCCTCAAACCAAACTGAAAAAGACCCTGATGTCAGGGGCTTACACTGTTGTTTCTTCAACTTAAGTTATCCAGTGATTGATGTCAGATCTTTCTCATGGATGCAACTAAGTAGGTGCCCCATCACCTTATTGATTCAACCTGGTGTTTTCCCAGTCATCAAGTCCATAGCCAGTCACTATACTTATTGAGCTATGCCAGCTCATGAACAGAGTAATCAAAATTTGCATGTCCATAAAATGTGTTAAAGTGCCTTTCACAGATCTCCTGAGAAAGCAGCCAGCATCAGGGACAGCACTGACTAAGTCAATGCCATCAACTACACAGAAGAAAAAATAACTTAGCATGCTCCTCATGATTGAAAGATATGAGGTTTAAAACTTAATCAAAGGAAATCTCTGTGGCCTGCAAACACTCAGATGTGGCTTCAGCATATTTTCAGATGTATTATCTTAAATTGCATGAGAATAGGTGATTCAAATGCCACACTACAGCATTGCCACCTGGACTTTAGACCTGAGATTAATAATTTAATAGTACACTAGTGTACTGTATGATCGGCTGGATCGGACGTAAGCCAGGATGCATGGGCAGTAAAGGTTAAATGTCAATAATTTGGCCACAAAACTTGATCTGTAATATAAACTAAATGAAGGTATCTTACATGATTATCAGAATTCTTTAAACTGGTGATATAATATAGAATTGTTCCATATAAAATATTTTAGATCAGGAAAATCCTAACAAATCTCTGTCCAAACATCACTCACTCTGTGATTGAAATAAGGGTCATGTGCACTGTAAAAAGCTACTCGTAATGTAACTGCAGTATTAAAAGGCAACTTGAAATTTGCCTTAAATCTCAAATTGGAAAAACTGTTAAGTTAAACAGCCTTAAAGTGCCTTCCACAAATCTCCTGAGAAAGCAGCAAGCATCAGGGACAGCACTGACCAGATCAATGCCATCAACTACACAGAAGAAAAAATAACTTAGCAAGCTCCTCATGATTAAAAGATGTGGCTTCAGCATATTTTCAGATGTTTTAACTTATATTGCATGAGAATAGGTGATTCAAATGCCACACTACAGCATTGCCACCTGGACTTTAGACCTGAGATTAATAATTTAATAGTACACTAGTGTACTGTATGATCGGCTGGATTGAGCATAAGCCAGGATGCATGGGCTGTAAAGGTTAAATGTCAACAATTTAGCCACAAAACTTGATCTGTAATATAAACTGAATGAAGGTATCTTACATGATTATCTGAATTCTTTAAACTGGTGATATAATATAGAACTGTTCCATATAAAATATTTTAGTGCAGGACAATCCTAACAAATCTCTGTCTAAACACCACTCACTATGTGTTTCAAATGAGGGTTATGTGCACTAAAAAAAGCTACTATGTGCACTGTAAAAAGCTACTCGTAATGTAACTGCAGTATTAAAAGGCAACTTGAAATTTGCCTTAAATCTCAAATTGGAAAAACTGTTAAGTTAAACAAAAAGGAAAAGTAAATGTACAGAGTGGTACCAACAAAAGCTTTAGTGAGTGAGGAAATGAGTGAAAACATGAGTGAATGAGGGCGGAAGCACAAAATGCAAACTACACAGAAGAAAAAATAACTTAGCAAGCTCCTCATGATTAAAAAAAAACATACCCTGTAGCTGATATTATAATGTTTGATGATTCCATTAGGTTTACTTGGAGCATCCCAAGATACACTCAATGCAGTTGAATTTAGTGGCATTGCAGCAAGTGATAAGACTGCAGAGGGAGCTACAAAAAACACATACACAGTGAGCTGATGTTTATCAAAATGTTTCAGGAAACTACAATTATAATTGTAAATCTTATTTAACATTTTGTAATCCTTTGTCAAACACTTTTAAAACCATGTTCCACAGCAATTCTGACTTCAGTCAAATATAAATAACAACAATAATAATTCATTTCAATTAATTTATGAAAGTGTTTGTCAACAGCAAGGAACCAATGGCAGTTAGTATCTTGAGTTTCAAAATTGAACCATTACCACTGAACACATTCTCAGATCATGGCACTACACGAAGGATAAGAATTAGTTCCATGCCGTGCCCTTAACTTGCTTTGCTATATATTGCACAGAAAATTGGGTGACTCAAGAAAGCATACGGAATAACAGTGGTGGACAAAAGAATTTTCACAAACCCTATAATAATTTTCCTCTTTAAATAATGGAACATGAATCTAAAACTTTAATGTTTATTACATTTGATTAAATACATGTTTTAACTTACCACTTTCAGGGGTTGTTATGTTGCCTGTAAGAATTAACGTTTTTCCATACCGCAGTGTCCATCTATAGAATGTAAATGGTTTCAGGTCCTTCTTCTTAAAAGGAAACTGTGACATATTTTGAGAGTCAGAGGTCTTACTTCCTTTTTCTTTGACATCTACAACATATGAACCTGAACGGCAGTGATGAGCAGATTTCTGAAAATGTATAATGCATTTAAAATGGAAACCTCAAACAATCAGACTTCAATGTATCTAGTTGCAAAATGCATAGTCAACTCTGACAAGTAGCACTGCATAGATTACCTGTCAGAAATATTACACCAAGTCAGGTTAAAATTGAAGACGGCCGTCTTCTGGGTTGCTGAGTCGTGTAGTCTGGTAGAAGTTTCTTCTACCAGACTACCCAGAAGACAGCCGTCTTCAGACTCACCGCCGTGATAACCTCAAATCCTACACAGATTAAAATTAATATATAATGTAATGAAATTTGAACTTGTGATGGATGGAGGATTGGACGGAAATGAGTGTTGACATGTGAGCCAGCACATTATGATGCTAAACCCTTTTCGGTAGCCTGAAACCTGTTCTATCGACACTCTACAGACTCTAGTTACCAAAGAAAGTCTGGAATCTCGTTAGATCTAATTTAATCTTTGTATAAAGCAAGTGGATGCTGTTTTACATGAGTTATACTTTCATTCAGATAAAATTTAGATCTTTATTGATTTTACCACAAGTTGTTATGTATGGTCTTATAATTAAGGGAGCGATCTACAGGCTTGATAAGTCTAACAAAAGATTAAATAAAGGATGTAGGCAGAATAGGAAGCTGATAACTGGTGGAATAATTTTAAAAAATTAACTTAAGATCAAACCCAGACACTGCACTCCCCTGTATACAGAGTGCTTGGAAAGAATTGGTATATAAAACACTTCAGGGAACTTTAAAACACTCAGTTAGTGGCCTTCCAGGTTATGATACTCTCTGTAAATGCCTTGTATTTGGTTGTCAACAATTTGGAGGAATCTACTGCCTCCCTTTTCATGGCAGAATTAAGCCTCAAATTTCATATAACTTTAAAAAGAGTTCTATAGCTAATCTTAAATGAAATTGTGAATGTAAAACTTCCACTTACCTGCCAACTTATTTGGAAGCCATAATTAAGAGGTTGTACATCCACTTTATCAGGATCTGTAAATACATTGTATTAATTATGCTTAATAAAATTACTTAGAATACCTCCATTTAATCTTAAACATGACAAATTTGCAACTTACGGATACAAGATGTTTTGTACACAGCATGTGGTATATCAGTGCCATTATAACCTGTTCCTGTCTCATCAATCAGAACAACTCTTACTACATAGCCTGATCCAACTTCTAATTCAGGTATTTCATGCTTTTTTACTTTGTCACTGTATGCAAATGTACCAAATGTAATCCAACCTCCTTCTTGATTAGCACTTTCAGCCTTCTGTGAAATAGTTCAGAATAAGAAATTAAGTAAGATTTGAAGCTTTAACGGAGAATAAATGTACTAAATCACACAGTCACATCAAGGTTGAGCAAAAATTTGTAACTGGAATTTAATGTAGCTGATTAATAACATTTTAGTGCAGATGAAATCTCTGTTTATATCACACTCATTTTTGCTTCAATATGAAATTAGCAAGGTCCAAGAAAAGCAGGTGGGACTGAAATTGAATAGGACACATCAGCTTCTGGCCTATGCCATGATGTAAATCTCCTGGGAGGTAGCATAAATACCATAAAGAAAAATATTGAAGTTCTAACTGATGCTAGTAAGGAGGAGTCTAGAAGTAAACACAGAGGAAACTAAGTATATGTTGATGTCTTGTCACCAGAATGCAGGGCAAAACTATAATATTAAGACAGCTAATGGATTCTTTGAAAAATTGGCAAAGTTTGGATATTTGGGAGTGACAGTAAAAATCAAAATTTTGATTCGTGACCAAATAAATAGCAGATTTATTTCAGGTAATGTTTGCTACCATTCAGTTCAGAACCTTTTGTCTTTTTGTCTGCTGTCTAAAAACGTAAAGATTAAAATACACAAAACTATAATTTTGCCTGTAGTTCTGTATGGGTGTGAAACTTGGTCTCTAACACTAAGGGAGGAATGTAGACTAAGGGTGTTTGAGAACAGGGTGCTGAGGGGAATATTTGGACCCAAGAGAGATGAAATACTGGGAGGCTGGATAAAGTTGCATAATGAGGAGATTCATAAGTTGTACTCTTCATCAAATATAATTAGACTGATCAAGTCAAGGAGGATGAGATGGGCAGGGCATGAAGAGGAGAGGAGAGGAGTGCACACAGTGATTTTGTGGGCAAACCACAAGGAAAGAGACCACAAGACAGACATAGACATAGGCAGTGGATAATAATAAAATGGATGCTAGATAAATAGGATGGGGTTGTATGGACTGGATTCATCTGGGTGAGGATGGGGAACAGTGGTGGGCTCTTGTGAAAATGGTAATGAACCTTTGAGTTCCATAAAATGTTGGAACTTTCGTGAATGGCTGAGAAGCTGCTGGTTTCTTTGGAAGGGCTCGGCTCAACATACGTATCATGCCCGTTTTATGATGATCATGCAAGTAGTATGACAACTACTAAAATCGTCAACCTTTGGATACACAGTTATATAAAATGCATTTATGATGAATGTACAAAGATAAAATCAAGAGGTGAGGGTGGATGATAATCTTTAATCACTAATATAAATTTAGATCTTAAATTTTCAACTCAGATCACACAGAGTATAATTTGGATCATGCTGAAAAAGTCCCCTGCCTTCTTGTGTTGGAAATCTTTCACCAATGATTGTTTTGTATAAAATTTCATGCATTCATTGCCACTGATTGCATTTACCCCTATACAGCATATGTGCCTGCTACCAACACAAGTTGTGCCATACTAGGTAGATGAACTAAGCCATGTGTCTGCCTCTCCTCTCTCTTTTATATTTTGTCCACCTTTCAACCTACAATGATACAATATTTATGTACATATGCCTATTTTTTCTTCTTCTTCCCTTCAATTTATATCCTTATCTTGTATCTTCCTGCATGAACATCCCTGGTCTTCATGTATGTAATGGTATTCTTCCCACTCGCAAACTGACTTATGATCCCTTAACTGTAGTTGGTCTTTTCTAAATAAGCATCTTTATAATATCTCACACTTCTGCTCAGTTTAATCTCTTTCTTCTCATATCATGTTTAGTTTTATTCTTCTTTCTCTGTGGTCTACCTCATATATATTACTGTGGCTAATATGGAATTTCCAAGAACATGGATACTGCCTATCTCACAGGCTATTCTGAAAACGGTGGTGACCCTCGGGTTCCACAAAAGAAAGAGAATATCTTGACTACCTTAGCAAATATTAACTCTGTGGTTTTTTGAATTAACCTTTAGAGTATCAAGCTATTTTTATCACTGTACACCCTGCTGGCCCGATTTAAATCCTAGTCACAATATGCTGTTTATGTTTTTTAATAGAGTACAGAAAAACTAACTTAAGGCAAAGTGACAGAATATAAACTTTGGAAAAGACCTAATTAGGGCTGCAAAATTACTCATGTTTGGTTCTTTTGGCATCATAATAGCAAATATGTTAGTTATTGATGGTGTTGAAACTAATTACAGATCAAAAATTGAGAAGATGGAAAGAATGTTAGATCATTTAATGGCATAACATCAAGAAGTGCTGGAGACAATAAATCTAACACAGACATGTTGCAAATACCATTAAGAAATTAGAAACATTTGATGATTTTTGGAATAGACAAATACTCATGAGCCATATTTTGATACATATAAAATAACTATGGTTTTCGGGAATGATAAGGAAGATACATAACAAATTGGCTAACAGAAAAAACAATTAGAATAACAAGAAGAGGTGTAAGAACTGATTTTGTCAAATTCACTTCATATTCAAATTAATCAGAACTACTAATTTAGCTCAAACACATACAGGGATTGAGCAGCATTACAATGTAGGGAGAATAAAAATATGTAGAGTTTATTCAACACCTGAATTGTTTAAAATCAGAGGGCACAATGGTACTCATATTACTTGGACTGTTAAACAGATTTTGCAGACTGAAAGAGACTGGGGCAAAATGGACAACACCAAAATGTTACATTCCAGGGAGAACCAGAGATAAAGAAGCAGGAAAGAGAATGAAGAGAAACTCAAGGAGAATACAGGGCAAGTGCAGGTGAACTGATCGCATAGAGAAATCACGCCGTGAGAAGAGAATGCTGGCAGGTCATCTGAGGAAGGAAAGGTTCAAGTTTCCATCAGAAAATACAACCTAAGAAACTGGGTGACATCAAGGTGGTGAAGGAGTTTCAAGGAACATTTTCTACAATTGAAAGGAGACAGCAATTTTTCACAGATTTCGTTTTTGAACAACAATACATGACTGTTGATGGGTTGCATTTTAAATGTTAGACTCTGTAAAAATGTCATACCTTGCCAGTACCAATGATTGTCTTTCATATGTACCAGTTCTTCAAACATTATAATTTTACTGAGCAGAATACATCATGTTCCTCTTATCATTCACAAAAGTAATTTCTTTCCTTCTTGTAAATTCTATTACTTACCACATATTGTAGACGATACTCAGTAGGGTTAATGTCTCCAGAAAAACTGATGTCTACTGAAATAGTTATTGAAGTTAGAGTGTGTGAGATGAAACGTGGTGCTTCATCGAATACTGGATATTCTATGGAATAGAAACAGTATTACCATTATCACAGTTTTATTAACAATGAATGAAATGAATGTATTAAAATGTTTAAAAATCCAAACAAATGGATGCTTTTAAACATTTACAAGAGGAACAGTACCGCACATTCTGCAGTTTGAAAGTATAAGTCTGAAAAATTGTCTATAATTCCTCATTTTCCTGGTATTCTTTCGAAATCTTCTTTTCCATAAATAATGATATTATTATTATTATTATTTAGTGTTCTGTCTGACGACAGGTCCATTGCTCTGCCCAAAAAGAGTTCGCCAGTTTTACCTATTCATAGCTTTTCGTTTTAACTCCTGAAACTTCATCTTCTTTCCTTGTTTGAGACCGTCAGTTAGCTGTATCAGTCTTCTTCCCAGTCCTCGCTTTCCTTCAACCTGGTCTTCGATGATATAACTCAGTAATCCATTCCTTCTCATAATATGTCATCGATCTCATTGGAGCAAATTCGCGTTAACGAAACATAGGTAATTGCAGAGATGACTGTATTTATTATTTTTATTCAAAATCAGCGATGTAAGAATTGCGATTTAGTATAAGAATCAGTGCGAGAAACATTGTAAAACGTTATAAATAATAGTAAAATATATTTTTTCGCTTTTTGACTTGCTCGTTTCAAAAGCGGAGTTATTCTGAATCGGCGCCAATTGAACCGGCGCAAATCGAGGGTTACCTGTATATCAAAAGCTTTAAAGATCATAACAAATGGATGCTCTTGAATATTTGCAGAAGGAACAATTCCACACATTCTGCAGTTTGCAATATAAGTCTGAAAATTTTTCTGATATTCCACATTTTCGTAGCATTCTTTGTAAATCTTATTAATAGATGAAGAATGATACTCTTCAAAATGCTGATTTTTTTCTCATTTTCTGATTTAACAGTTCAATAATCACAATCACATTAATATTAGTTATTAACTCATCAACTACGTTACAAAGACTCGTGATAACAATTAGAAAGTCGCACTCATCATACTCAAAATGAACAGATACACAACAGATGACACCCACACATAACCCAGGAATCTATACATATATGCCGCCCAGTCACTTAAACGTTATTGTCTGAAGTATGTGTGTCAGATGAATGAAAACCCACTCAGGGTCAAGGTAGAGTGACCTATCTCTAGTGGAGCCACATATGAGGTGGACTGAAGAGCTGCCATGTCCATCATGCAAATTCAGTTATACAATAAGTGCCTTCACCATATTCTCTTAGAGCCCCCTCCCAACAGTTTGAAATCTGTCACAGAGGGAAGGGTCATCATCATTGGCATAGTTACCACTTCATTTAAACTGGAAGATAATGAATATCAACATTTGAAACCATTTGTCATGTCTAACGTAGTGGCAACCCCATTTCTTGGTAGAGACTAGCTAAGGGGTTTGTGTTCTCAAGATGAGGAACTTCAAGAAATTGAGGGATACACGAATTCGGGCTTGCCTCTCAGGCGCTCTGGCTGTGTTCAACCCTATTATGTGGTACGTAATGAATTATCGCTCGTTGAAAATTGTGTGGTAAAGGGAAAAAGAGTCATTATCTGGCATGCTATTAGAGCCGAGAGTTTGAGACTTCTGCACCAAGGTCACTAGAAAATAGTTTGTACCAAGTTGCTGGCAGTGTCAATAATATAACGAGTTTGATCAGAGTGTATCTCCTGGAAATCAATGGCTAATGATAACGAATTTGAGGTAATCTTCTGGAAGCGGGAAGCCAAAAAATCATGGAAGAGGCTCCATATTGGTTTTAAAAAATTCAGAAAACTATATTTTGATTTTACTAGGACAGTTTTTCGAAATGGAACAAGGCGTGGGTAATGTCAATGTCAGATGCTGCATCTGTCACTGACTGCTTGGACAATTTTATAAGAACATTCGGAGTCCCAACATAAGTGTGTTAGACAACGGACCCCCTTTAATTTAGCTCTACTTGCTGTCTGGTGTATATCCAATAACATACAAATTTCACATTTGCTAGCATACCATCCAGACAGCAATTGCTCCAGCTTAAGTAACTTTCAAATACCCCCCTCCTGGCCCCACATTAAGCTGTGAATGCTTTTGCTAGGGTAATTAAGTCACGACATTAAGCTGTGAATGCTTTTGCTAGGGTAATTAAGTCACAAGACTGATCTACTTTTCAAAATGATTTAAATGTGTAAAGTGTACTTACTCATCTTGCATAGTGGAGGCCTAAATCTCCTCTCACAGCCATCTGAACATATACCTCTAATTTTGTCACAGGAAGTATTTTTTGAACAATTTCCACATTGTTCCTTACAGTTCACCCCAAATGTACCATCTGGACAAGCTGAAAAGCATAAAAGAGAAATTATTCATGGAATATTATAATAAAAATGTCAAAATAAAAGCATGACAATGTTCATGCAACAAAAAGTGGTTCAATATAGTCCTGTGGAAATATTCTTTTATGTGGTAGCATCAAATGTTCTGGGACAGGAGCCATATCTTAAGTCTACGGGCATTAAAAATAATGTCCTTCAGCAGCTATACATCTGTGTTAATGATATAGCTACATGAACCTTCTTAAACTATCCCAAACATTGCATTCAGATTGACGTAGATGTTCTGACTGGAAATGTAGCAGTAATAAGGAACAGGAGTGCAGCAATTTTTTGTTCTTACGGATGATTTAACTTAAGAGTTTTCTGATAACAGAGGAATTCTAGAAGTGTACTTAAATTCATTCCGGTCAAATACAGGTTGGCTTAACAGTGGTTCATCAAAGCAATCACTACAGCCAATCAGATTCTAATTTACAAAGGCAATAAGTCAGGGTTGGGGAATGTTTTAAGTGTTTACAGTCACAGCCAATCACATTCAAATGTTCAAAACTTATTATTTTACAAAGGGAGAAGAGAATGCCAATGTTGAGTGTGCACAAATCATCTTAGACACCAGGCACACATGCATTTCAGCATTCATTCACATTATTTGTTGTGCCACCCATACTGGATAATTTAAAATTCCAGCATTGAAAATTTTGTAACCATCATTCTTGTGTCACACTGAATAAAAGTGCCAATTGCGAACTTAATTATTACACATTTGTATGAACATTATTGCATAAAGACACTGCAGATGTTTCATGTAATATCATTAATAAAGAACACTGTAACGTCAAGTGTATGACATCATTATTCAGAGTATCATCTCCAGTATAGTAACCACCTCCATTATAAACCACAGCCATCAGTGCGACCAACCTAACACTTTCCTTTAGCAACCTACAAGTCTTCACTAAGGTAACATCATCTGTCAGTACCTAAAGTCGCTGTGCAGTAAACACGAGTTGTGAGATCCTCCTACCTTGAGTAAGCCAGAAGGTATGCTAAGACTGGTTGTATAGCCATTCAAAACACTTCTGGAAAAACACATACCTCATGCAACAGAATGTTTTTAGCCACTTGAACGTCTGACGCATCCTTGAAGTGACAGCCGTTTGGCAGAAAGCACATGTGGATAAGGAGAGCATAGTAGTGAGCAAGAACAACAGTAATGTGCCTACGCAGTTGCTGTTGCATATGCACAGGGCACAGGGCAATCATGCTGGAACACCCAATCTTTGGCCACCCATATTTCATGACACTTCAAGGAAATTTCCTTCTACAGAAGACAACAAAAATTCTTGCGCCATTCTTTACTGACCACAGAATAATTGTACTAAAATTGCAATTTATGAAATCAATATCATCAAATTAAAAATTTACCATTTTGAAACACAATACCCTGCCACTGAAGAAAGTCTCCAACATAGCCTTCCTTTTGAGGAATCCTGATGGAGGTTCATGGCTTTCACAGGTGATAAATTTCACACGGAAAACTGATGTTGAATTTAAGAATCATATTGCCCAAATATTTTCATTGGCAACTTCCCCAGTTCTTAGCAAAGCTTAATATTAGCCTGCTACTCTAATCTAAAGCATTACACAAATTTGAAACCTTGCATACACAACATTATCCTAATTTTTCTATATCCTCAAACATGTTCACAACTACCTGCAATTTTGCTTCTCTTCCACAAATTTTTTTAACTCTCACACATCTTCTGTAAAGTCCATTACATGTTTTACAGTGTAGAACACATAACAGGGAAGTTGTGTTTCTTTGCACATTTTACCAATTGGTTTAGAAGATGTATTAGTATCCTTTCCTTCACAGGCATTCGATCAATGTAATGGAACATCTTTAAAACATGATGACCTACACGAAGCTTATAATATAATGTGGAAATTGAGGAAATGTACTCAGATCACCAAAAGAATTCTCGTGACATTTTACGCAATGGGACGAAATGTGATATTAAGTAATTCTTCACAGCCACATGGCCTATCATGTAACTGCTTATCACCAAGGAGCTCTTGTTTTCTCTGCCACAACGTCATGTAACTACAATCATGTTGCTGTTAAAGATACCTGTGATACCTGTGAATTATATGCATGGCCGCCCATCGAATCATGTTGTTATGATGGAACGCACTATAGCCTAATTGTTAAAGATGCACATGAATTTATAATGTGGTTGCACAGTAATTCACTCTGATACCCTGCAATACACTTGTGGTTGAATGTGGAGATATCGGTTGCACAATCACGTTGCTTCACTTGGTTATTGTAACTGGTGACTGGTTCTATAACTAACTCAGGATGATGTTTGACTCAGCAAGCCACATTTATTGACAGATAAGTTATATATAGTGCAAGGCACTCAAAGTATCATTAAATAAATTTTGAAAATGGAGATGCAGAAGGTATGCATCTCCAAAACGCTGGCATCTACTGGCCAGTCTATACAATGCCAGAACCCAAAAGAACATCAATAACATATGATTATACATTACTAAATGTTGTTGTTGTTCTAATTGTATTCTATTTATATTCATAAAATATAATATCCTACTTTTGTTTGCTAAAGAGTTTCCATTTTACTCTGTGCCATACTTGGAAATGGGGATTACCCCATTTGATCCACATAATAGTCACAGACTGTAATACAGCACACATTTTAATTTGTTGTTAATAAAATATCTTCAACTGCATAGCTTTGGTTGAAATGAAGTGTTGTGAACACATGTAATATGCCATTTTAAATTATTTTAAACAATTAAACATTTAAATTTTGTTTCATTGTGAGAGCTCTTTCTTCTATATTTTATTTTAAGCAAAACAAATATTGATAATTTTACACAAACTCCAAGACTGGATGACAATTTTAACAGGTGAAGTCCATAGAAATTGTAATGGAGGAAAAAATTAAATAGAATGACAACAAATTTTAATATGAAGCAGCTTAAAATGAAACAATTTCATGCTTACATTTTCCACATTTTGGACCCTTGTATCCAGGATTACAGAAGCAGGTGGTGATTTGACGTGTTGGTTGACACAAAACAATGCCACTACCACAGGGTTCGAGTTCAGGAACTGGCAACCTATCACAGCTTGGTGTGCAGTTAAGTCCACAACCTGAATGACAAATGCACTTTAGGATGAAATCTTGTAGAAGGTGGCATTTTAAAACCAGAGTAGCTGGGAGACATTTGCCATCAATTATAATCATAAACTTTTTATTGTGTTATATCCTGTATTATCCAACTTAGTTGTCAATTGTGAAATTTATCACAAACAACTCATTACATAAACATACTCAGTCATTAAATACTTATCTCATTACCACATTTAGGGAAAGGTTGCTATTCATCTATCAACAGATCAATTTTTTCAATATATTGCCAATTGTTGTTTGAATAATTTACTGGTATCATAAAAAAATATGTAGCAAAAAAGACATATTGTTTTCATCATGTTCCAAATTTGTAGTCACATAAATTTAATGAAGCATGTGTTTGCCTTGTTTGCTAATGACATTTGTAAGATACAGGTATTGGGAAGAAGAAAGAATGGAATGAGTTTTGTCTTCAATTACAAATGAGGTCATGCACTTCAGTGCAACTCTTAGCACATTTTCTATTTTAAAGACTGTGCTACAGAAGCATGTGGAGTGGAATAACTGATAAGTATTTAAAGGTAAAGAAATTATACATACCTAATATCTTTATTACATTTCATGGATCCATGAGTTAGTCAGATGAAAATAGGATGTGGAATAGTCCATAATATCATACACATTACAAGTAAAAATCTGACTATTACATGAAACTTGATCTGTTTACCACTCTAAGTAGAAGATGAAATTAAAACCATGTATTCAAAGTTGAGTGTAAAAGTTTAGACGAACACCAACTGTTTGAATGCCACTGCATATCAATTTGCTATAAAAAACACTATTCCAACTACATATTTGGTGCAAAAAAAATTGTCTGATGAGAAGTGGTATTGTTCCTTCATGAGAAGCTGCTTTAATTTATCTTGATACATTTGTGTCTACACAAAAACAGAGTAAAAATGGTCTTACATAGGAAAGACTCTGTGAATTAAAAAGGCACAGGTAAGAGTTAAAATCGGTCAATTCTGAATTATGTGTTCATTAATAGAAGGGTCTTTAAGATGTATTCATGACATAGCCACATAATAAAACACAACATTCAAGTATATGCATAAAGAATCAGTTTGGCAACACAACCAAAATAGCAGTTGCAGAAAGAATTTCTATTAAATTTCTCATTTATGGTCTGGATAGAACAGCTTACAAATCTAACTGCAGATGTTACTGTTTGGGAGTCATCATCACTGCCATATAGTCTTGTGGCTTGTTAGTCTCATGCTATTTCTATATAAATTGCCAGAATCATTTTCTTTTTAAGCTTGTGTAAATACATGCAACATTTTAATTTACTTGTATGTCATGAGAAATGCACGAATTAATGCTGTTAAGGCTAGATGAAAAATTAAAAAGATGGTAGACACTGTGAATTCTTCTCCAACTAATTATCCCTTCAATACTACCTTCACACATCAAAAAGTTAATGTAAAAATTACATACAAAACAAAGAAGTACTTTCTGTTCAGAAATAACTAATGTAAAGTTGTATTATTTCTTGAAACTGTGACTATGCACAAGTGTCCACAGATATATGAAGCGAACAACTCTATTTAAAAATATTTTTATAATTAATTTCTAGTTTTTATTTCATAATACCCATTAGGCGTAAAGACTCGCCACCTCATAAGCCATACTTAATTCTGAAGTAGGATACCTAAATCCTTACTCTTTACCACTTACAGAACTAGTTCACCTGTGATCATCAAAGCAACATTATCTATAGATATAAAACTGTGTAACAAATTACTGTACATTACCCGTGAAATATTGATCTGGCTCTGTAAGAGTGAGTACCGAGCTTGGGTACTTCAGTGGGTGACAGGATAAATCTGTTCCAGGGGAAATTGTCACTGTAGATACATGAACTTCACCTGCCAAAATAAAAGTACTACACTAGAATATTTAATTCCTTTGAATATGATGGGTGTGTTAAGAGTAAGAAAAAATCAAGAGTACACTTTTGTATATTTTAATCTTAAGATTCCTTGATATCAGATGGAAGTCTCTCTAGTTAAGCAACATGGACTAATTCAGGACAGGGTTCACTGACCACATCACCTAGACACTGCTCCTATTTGGCTGCATAAAGACAAGTGCATTGAGTTATGAGAACTGGTACAGGTATAAATACACATGTAGCCATGTCACTAATTACATTAACCCTGATGATGGAGGTAAACACAGCCCCTAAAATATTTGATTACAATACCATTCTCACATGGCTTACCACACATGAAGACTTCAGTATAGTTTGTTATATATTCAACACACCAAAAAAATGTTTCAAATAAAAGTTGTAGATCTAAATGAGGTCTACGTTTGATGTTATAGGTATTTACAAATTTTATACTTGAATAGCTATTCTGAGAAAACTGTAAATTGTAAATTCCAGCTCAACTTCAAGTAAATAAAGTACAGTCCCTCTATACATTTAGTTCAGCCTCTGAGTATCAGATTCCATCAACATCTTTAGTATTCCCAGAGATCAAACACATGGACATATAGGAAGACGTAGTTTTCCCAGTACGTATTTTTCTTATAAACTATGTGCAAAAATTACAAAAATTATTTCAAGTGTGGGATTGAAATAAACAATTTCTGTTGTACATACATTTATGTTAACAGAAAATAAGGTAATATTCCTTGGCTTACCTAATGGATTACATTCTCGGACACTTCCCATGGCAAAAACTTCACTCTGAATGTCAGAAATAGTGAGCTTCATCCAATTCTTCCATGGGTCAGTTAGATTATGAATAATTCGTTCCTCGTGCCA